CACCATGGCAATGAAACAAACACTGTAGTGCTCAGAGCTCCGGGATGCCATCCAGAGCACCTCCTTATCCTCAAATCCACATAAAGGCCTTGTTCAACCTTGCCCTGCAGGAAGCAAGGCTTCTGCCTCATCCCAGAAGCCTCTGAACCAGGTGCCAGGCCTTCTCTTCCTCCTCCTCCTATTCACTGCTGTCCTCTCCTTCCTGCCCTTCCCGCTCCCCTCTCCCCAAAGTGTTGGCTTCTGTCCCATTGATCAGAGGCCAAGTATGGGACGGGAACTCCTGGAGGCTTTGATGAGCCCTAAAGAGCCTGATGGAGGCCCTGGAGCCCTTGGCAGAGCCCAGAGATGTACTTTTAGGATGAGCCCAGTTCAGTCCTGCCTGCCAGGATGCCCTGCCTCCTCTTCCTCCATCCAAGGCCCAGGGCAACTCTGTGACTTGCTTTTGGACAAGCCTAGGCCCCGGCTGGCCCCCTGCAGACATGAAAGTAGGAGAGGCCTTGTGTAGAGATGCAAGTGTGGGTGTGCACACGAGCCAACCAGGGTGTTCAGGGCTGGCGGTGGGAGAGCTGGAACAGTATCAGGGTCCCCGCAAGCCCCTCACCAGCTGGCCTTGGCCTCCTACCCTCCCAAATTTGTCCATCATCCATTTATTCACTCATTCAACAAGCATTTGTTGGCCATTTGTTATACAAACGCTGGAATTAAAAGTATGAATGGGGGCTTCCCTGGTGGCGCAGTGGCTAAGAATCTGCCTGCCAATGCAGGGGACATGGGTTCAAGCCCTGGTCCGCGAAGATCCCACATGACACAGAGCAACTAAGCCCGTGTGCCACAACTACTGAGCCTGCGCTCTAGAGCCCGCGAGCCACATCTACTGAAGCCCGCGTGCCTAGAGCCTGTTCTCCACAACAAGAGAAGCCACCACAGTGAGAAGCTGCACACCGCAGTAAAGAGTAACCCCTGCTCGCCGCAAGTAGAGAAAGCCCGTATGCAGCAACGAAGACCCAATGCAGCCAAAATTTAATTAATTAATTAATTAATTATTTTTTAAAAAGAAAAAGATGAATGGAACACAACTCCTAGCCTCAGAACCGAAGTCCTGACCTTCCTCCCCAAATCGGCTCCCCGCTCAGTTCCTCTCAGTTGACGGGTGCTCCATCTTGCCTGTGGCTCACGCCAAACCTCACATCCAATCCAACAGCAAATCTGTTGTTTTTCCCCGGCTCAAAATATATCCAGAATATAATTACTTCTCACCCCTTTCACCCATGGTCCAAACCACCATCAGGGCTCACCTGCATGACTCACCTGGTCCAATGGGGCTCTCTGCTTCCGTCTCTGCTGCTGTGTCAGCCTCTCAGCTGGAGTCCAAGCGGTGCTGTGGAAACAAGGTTAGATCAGGCCTTGCACAAGGCAGGCAGACTCCCCACGCAGAACCTGTGCCCTGGCGGAATGACCGTCCCCTAGAAACATCCTCCACTCACTCCCTCACCTCAAAGGTCAGCTTTTCAGGGAGGCCTGCCTCTAACAGCTAACACTGCAGGCCCTCCCCTTCTCCAGAGCATCATTGCCAAATATCACGTGAGATATTTGACTTATCTGTTTTGTTTATTGCTGATCTTCTCTCTCAGGAAAGTAAGCGCCACCAGAGCAAGATTTTGTCTGCTTGGATCACTCCCTGAGGACCCGGCTGGCCCACAGTAGTGGCTTGTTAAGTAGCTGTGGAATGAGTGAAAAAGTGACTTGTGGGGTCACCCGTAGGAAAAGCTGACCCTGCCTCCACTTCTGCCATTTCCTGTCTGTCCCCACACAGGCAGCTGCAGTGATGTCATTGCCTCAGATGCCTTTTATGGCCCCCTGGGTTAGGCAGCCCCTCTGGGCACTCCGACAGTCCCCCTTCCCTCCTCCTGTAATTGCTTGGTTACTGGTCTCTCTTTCC